CCGACTCTGTGAGGAAAAGCAATCGGGCCTGGGCTAAGAGAAAGGGGGCGGGGGTGTTGGCAGTTAAGTTACTGGCTGCAGACCTAACAGGTCTTATCAATGAACTTCAAGGTCACAAGAAGTAACTGTAAACAATGTAGTCTTTCTCTGCCCTGGGTTATTCTTTTTAACCCTTCCAATGCTAAATTAGACCAATACCTGTTCTTAGTTTGATCACAAAAGGTCTAGATATATCTTAAGAGTAAAAATACATTTAAAATGTGTTAAAACCCGCAGCCGCCCTGGTGATTTAGAACTGTTTGCCAGGCAGACTCAGCCCCTGAGAGCCAGGTCAAAGAAGGCGGGGCTGAGTGCCTGAGCTGCCCGCAAGCCCCTGAAGCCCCTGGTGGAGAAGAAGCAGCGCGTGCGTGGATCAACGAGAGCCTACAGGAGCTGCAGCAGCTGCTGGCGGACACCGAGGTGCAGGCTAAGCTGGAGAATGCCGAGGTGCTGGAGCTGACGGTGCCGAGCGTGCTGCGGGGCAGGGTTCGTGGGCAAGAGCAGCTGCAGGCAGAAGCCAGCAAGCACTTCGCTGCAGGCTACATCCAGTGAACCCCCTGCTTGAGTCCATACCACTGTGAAAGGGCAGTGGCTTCCGAAATTTGCTGGAGGACGCTCTGGCCGGGCCCCGGGAGATCCTAGGTGGAGCAGCTGGCTCACAGGAGGGGCTGATATCCCCTTCAAGTGCACTCCCTTGAAAAAGGCCTGGTTGCTGCTCTGCCACAAAGGGAACTGGTAGAAAGGCAAGAAAGCAGGGCCCTAAGAGTTAACAAAAGGGCACTCTCCCTGGACCCGGGAGCCATCAGGACTTTGAAATTCTCCAAGAGAGGAGGAGTCTGACTCAGAGACTGGCCGAAACCTCGTTGGGTTAGAAGAACCAGAGGCTGCATATTGAACTTATAGATTGCAGTTTGCTGGGCAAAGGTCCAAGCCCAGTTATATAGGGGTTAAACTACCTGTATACAATAAAACAACTTTCTCCTGTGCCAGAATATATTTTAAGAAAATTGAATGCATAATAGACGAGTAAGCTGGGACAAGTGGAATAGGAAAACTAAGCAGAAATCCTATCTTCCCTAAACCAATAACACTTGGGAGTAAATGCTTTGCATTTGCCTCCCTAAACAAAGGTTAAATCGTTTATGTCAATCTGATTAGTGTCATTTTTTGTCCACACCCAGGGACAAATGAAGTTAGAAAATAAGCCTTATTCTGATTAACTCTTTTATTCAGGAGGAGCCAACCCGGTCCCTCCCTGCAACATGAATGATAAAATATATATTAAGGAATTTTAAAATTGCTCAAACCTCGCTGCCTTGGGTCCAGTTCTGCATGTGTAAAAAGGAACAAAGTAAAGTTTAATAGCAGGAGTAAAGAGGCAGGCAGGGCAGAAGCAGGCCAGAAGAAGCTGGCAAGGCCATCCAAACCACCCAGCCGCTATTGGCCAGAGCCGCCTGAGGCAGACCTCCTCGGACTGGCAGCAGCTGATACCAACTAGGACAGACTGGGCTTTTTCCAACTGGGCCCCCATGAGCCGATGGTCAAAATGAAGATCGGGGCCAGACTGTGAACTTTATGGTTGATACAGCGGCAGAGCACTCGGTAGTTACTCGGAAGGTACCTCCCCTCTCAGGGCAGGAAGTCACCATTATTGGAGCTACCGGTACCACAGCTGCAGACTATTCTGCCGCCCCTGCCAATGTCAGTTAGGCGGCCATCAGGTGGTTCATGAATCCCTATATTTACCAGTTGACCTGGTCCCTCTAATGGAAGCAGAAACCACTTTTGCCCCAGATGGCTCAGCACAGCCTTGCCTAGGTGAAAAGACCTCTCCAATGATCCTGTCCTTAGCAGTGCCGAGAGAGGAAGAATGGAGACTTTATACCCCCCAGCCAAAGGCCTCCACATCTGTTCTTGTCAGGCCCCCATCAGGGGACTTGGGCAGTGTTCCTGTTATCTGCCAAAATTCCCAAGACTGTAAAAGTACTTGTTCACTGAAAAGGTATAAATGTGAATGTTTATTTAATATTTATATGTCTACTTAGATATAAATATTTATAAATAAATAAAACCCCCGGTTAGTTTCCTGGTGTATTCTGGAGCAGCCTATTCAGTCTTGACAGAGCCAATGGGACCAGTAACATCTAAGAAAACACCGGTTCTAAGAGCCACCGGACAAACTGCCTTTTTTCCTTGGACATCAGAGAGGACTGTGAACCTCAGAAAGAACACGGTAACTCATTGGTTTACATGATCTCTTACAGAAATTACAAGCCACCCATAAGCTTGTTCAAGATGCCCTGCCAGTGCCACCTCGGACTCTGTACATTCTTTCCAGCCTGGGGACTCAATGTGGGTAAAAAAGTTCACGACCCCAGGACTCACCCCAACTTCAAAAGGACTATACCTGCAGAAAATTGTATAATAGACTCAGATGATGCCTGCATCTTCATAGACATGGCTTCAGAAAGACAAGGACGATTTTACCTTATATAGAAATGTCAAAGAGTGGACTTTAGTCACCTCCCCAAAATGTTTGTATAGCCCTGCCATACCTCATGTTTAATAGCGGAGGATTTGGCTGCCTGAAGCGGCCATGATGCCAATATTATGTTTCATTGTATTGATATGTTATATTAACCTTTGATTCTCTTGCAGGTTTGAATGTATGTTGGCTATCCTGGAAGGGGACTGTGTGGGGTGAACCCCAAGAGTAGAGGGTGTCTAGCTGCCAAGAGGGCAGGTGCCCAACTGGGCAAAGAAGAATACCCATCAGGTTTTGGTCTCTACTAAGAGACAGCTAACAGTTGGCAGCCTGTACTGTCAGGGGTGGTACAAATCTCAGCTGTAGAGAGCTGGGAAAAGCCTATTTGGAATAAAAGATCTGAAGCATGGTTGTGCATTTTTAAAGGACATAAAAAGAAGGTTTAAAAGCTAATCTGAAAGTATAAAATTTAAAAAGGTTATATATATAATAAAAAGGAGAAGAAAAACGTTGAAAGGACTAACAAGAAAAATCAGAAGATCTTATAGCAGATCAGTATGTTTTTCTCCTTATATAATTCCTCTGAAATCTGGCAATGCTTAATAAGTCATAGCAATACATTTCTTTGCATAAAATCAATAAGACCGGTTTTTAATAGTAATTTTATTAACCGGAAACTTTGACTGGAATATCATGTTTTAAAGAAACCTGTCTGAGCTCTGAAGATTTGAAGCCAATAAGAGTGCCACAGGAAAAGCCTGGTATCCTGCTTGGGAGCCCTGAAGATGGCTGGCGCTGGAGCGTCAGGCCCATGCCCTACCATCACTGGCGGTTGGTAAAAGTAGAAGGGAAGCAATAAGGATGCCTCTGCATCCCTGAGAAACCCCCACTCACTCTGGGCCGCAAAGAGTAGGAGGGCTACTGAGATGGGCTTAAATCCTAGAGCGTGGGCTCAGGTGGAGTTGCTACAGGTGAGGGATTCACCTAACGCAGCAGATACTGCAGGCAGGCCTGATGGCAGCTGAATGGCTTGGCTTCCTGGCCCTACGGGGCACCTTAAGATTCAATCATGAAATTCCAGCAAAGGTAGTCAGTTACCATTCTTGTTGTGTTTATGCAAACATCAGGCCAAATTGAATACAGTAGATAAATTAATATTGATTTGGCTTTTTAATAGCCATAGAGGAATTTTAAAAAGAAAAATCCTATTTCAATAAAGGTTGTTAAAACTAAAATGGTTTCTTTCCCTTCCACCGAGCCATTTGTTATAGTTTGTCTCTGCCAGGTCACAAGCCCAGCTCCTTCTGTGCCCAGGACTGCAGGGAGCCTGACTGGAAGGTGACCTCTGACCAGACACACCTGCTGCAGATCACCCTCAAGAAGACAGCGGACCTCGGCGGACCCCTTATAATCCTCCTGATGCTGTTGACTTTCAGCCCTTGCATTATTAACAAACTAGTCCAATTTGTCAAGAAATGTATAAAAATAGTTCAGTTGATAGTTCAATCCGTCTCATGATTGAGCCGGAAGTTCCAAGACAAGGGGGGAATGAAAGGACAGAACAGGGCTGATAACCGTGTTCCTAACTCCTCTTCAAGCAAAAGCCATAGAATGTATCAGTTGCTCAGCCAGCCCTTATCTCAGCCAATAGGAACGCAAGGAAACTAGCCCAAGGCCAAAAGTATGCTAGCCACCTCCTGTCTTTGTGTAACCAGACCCTAGCTGCACCCTGCCCTTGCGTCATTAGCTCCCGGCCCTCACTCAGCCAACCGGAATCAGCCAAATCAGTGGTCCGAGTGAGCCCCCACCCCCTGACCCAAGCCCTATAAATTCTTTGTTCTTCCAAGACTCCGGGCTCTCTTGCTTCCTGTCACTCCACTGTGTCAGTGGGGGAGGCAGAGGGACCAAACTAGCTAGTTTGAATAAATGACTCTTTGCTTTTGCATCGGACTCGGCTCCCTGGTGGTCTGTCTTTGGGGATTTTGAAATCTGGGCATAACACATGTGAAATAATATTTTGAATGTACTGGGTAAAATAAAATATATTATTAAAATTGATTTCACCTTTCTTTTTTTGTTTTTAAACATCGTATTATGAGATTTGAGATTCTATACTAGGTTTGCATCTTTGGGATAGGACTCTTTGGACCATGAGGATCTTCCCATTTCCCGTCCACTTCTTTCCTTATTTACTGAGGGCACCCAAGTGATCCTGAACCCCGCTTTTCTGCTTTGGTTTCCTAATCCCTGCAGCTTTGTGTCTCCTTCCTCGGTGATGGCTTTATCTACTTTTTACAGTCGCTCCCATGAAGGGGTTTCCAGCTTCTGAAGGATAAGCCTCTTGCCCTTACAGCGGTGGGCTGGCAATTCCTAACTTGCCGCTAGAGGGAGCTGCGTCGCTGCGTGGTTGCCGAGCAACTGGTGACCCGGAAGAAGTTCTCCGCCTTCCAGAGGGGCGGTAGTTCGCTGGATGACTTCCGGCGGGGCGGGAGCTCGCTGGATGATTTCCGGCGGGGCGGGCGAAGTCGCGGCGATTCTGCTTTGGCGGCGGCGGCGGCGGCGGCGTAATGACCACGCTCCGGGCCTTCACCTGCGACGACCTGTTCCGCTTCAACAACATGTGAGTGAGATGCGCACTGGGCGAGCCTGGTGGCGCTCCCCCGCCCCCGGGCCGGGGTCCGAGGAGTCAACCCCGCCCGGCCGCCGCTGGTACCTCCCGGGGGGCTGCAGGGGCCGAGGCCAGGGCGGGGGCGGCCGCACGGGCTGCCCTGCTGACCTTGGCCGAGGCGCTCTAACTTCATCCCGCCGCCCCGCGTCCTCCGGTGGCTGTCAGGCTGCGCTGGGTGGGCGGAGGTGGGGGCGGCCTGGGAGCCCACGGCCGGCGCCCGGCCCTGCTGCCTCCTGGCCTGGGACCGGCTTCCCCTTGTCCTGGACACCCCAAAAGTCCTGGCCTGGAGGTCGCGGCGAGGTCAGCAGCTGATAGCGAAGTGTCTGATGCAGCCCCCCGGGTGGAGGCGGGTAACTTTAAAGGATGAAATGACGAGGTGACCAGGCCCCGCAGCGGTTCCCCCCGCAATGGGGTCGGGGCTTGGTTTTGTCCGGGTTCCCGGAGCGGCGCCCCCAGCCGGGCACCTTGCTTCTGCTGTGCAGCGCCAGGGCGGGGCATGCTGGTGCAGACCCATGTGTGGCAGTTTCTTTCAGTCCGAGTTGTCAGGATAGGTGACTTGCAGCTACCATACCCCCCCCCCACCCCCCCACCCCCGAACAAAACATTTTGTTATTTTTGAATTTGTGAACATTTAAAGAGTTGACAGTTTTACCTCGCACACCTGTGTGGCACATCAGCAGGATTCTACAGAGAACATGTTGCTACATTGGCTCCATTTGAGACATCCATCCCGTCATCCTTCCGTTTATCCCACATTCATCCATCCCTCCACCTACTAATCCCCCATCCACGTTTGAAAGGTGGACAGAATGTTTATAATAATGAAGAAGGAAGCTCCGGAGAAGGGAGGGGGAGTTAAGGTGGGAAAGCTGAGGCGTGGCGGGTTGCCTTGGAGACGAGTGTGCTGTGCCTGCAGTGGTGGGTCTGTAACTAAGTAGCCAGAGAGAAAGGGTGAAAGGACTTCTCCATTGTTGAGGGGCTTACACTCGATCCTGTTGGAAGGAGGTTCTGTTTGAAGCGGCATAACGGAGGCAGTTTGTGTGGGGCTCTCGCTGATCCCAGCGCTGGCACTGCAGTAGCATTTAATCCTCACAGTTCTCTGAGTAGGTGGTCTCATTACCCCATTTTACGTATGAGCAAACTGAGGGACTGAGAGCAAGCGAATTGTCCCAGGTGTGAGGGCCTTGCAGTGAGAGCGAGTCAAACAAGGAGTCTAATTAATCCAAGGAGATTGGCTACAGCCGTGGTTCTTAAAGAGTGGTCCCTGACCATTGGGAACGTTTTGGAAATGCAAATTCTCGGGTGTTTGAGAACCACTGCTCTGAAGCCGGAGCCCTTCAACACCGAGCTGTGTGGAATAGGAGGTATACCAGGCAGGTAAGCCATATAGGAGGTCTTGGCAATGGCCCAGAGGTGACAGCTCAACAAAGGCGTGGGTTTGGGTGGTTCAGGCCTGGGAGGTGACAGTGTGTCTTGAAACTTCAAAAATAGTAAAGGCAACGCCTCTTGGAGAATCAGTTTTAACTGAAAATCTGGGAAGGGACAACACTGTTTTATGTGAAGATGAGTTGAGTAGAAGGGATGGTTTTCTTCTGATAACCATCGTTCTGTTATCTATATCTGTGATATTCTGACTTTTATTTCATTTAGCATAATCTCAAGAGTTCATCTAGGTTGTCACAAATGGCAGTATTTCATTTCTTTAAGAGGAATAGTATTCCATTTTACAAAATTTATTGCTCTAGTAAAGTAATTTGATCATTAAGTCTATTATTAATAAGTGTCTTCTAATTGGTTTTTAATGAAAAAGTTCATTGTTATAAATAAGCATGAGATGTGCAGTAAGACATTAGATTTCAAAGACTCATTCAGCTTAATATGGCCTTTCATTGTACGTCACTAGAGGAGCTCCTCTTCCTTCCCATTTTCTCCTTTCTCACTTTGATTAGGGCACTTGGGTTGAGAACTCTGAGAATCACAGGAGTAGGTGTTGCAGGAAGAACGGAAAGAAGCAATGGATGTAGAAACATTAGAATTAACAAATAGTTTATCCTTAGAAAATTATCTGCATACCTACTTATGGAACCATACTAGTGAATGAAACAGGATAAAATACTATCTTTAGGGAATTTAGAGGGGAACACAAAATAAGAAAATACATGCAGAACTTAGTGTTCAGTACTAAGGAGATATGAGAGCAGTAAAGGGAAATAGGAGGCGAGTGAGGATTCAACTTTAGGTAGCATGTCAGGGAAGGTGTTACTGAGAAATACCTAGGGGAGAGGCGATGAGTCACGTGGATGTTAGGGTCGGGGAACTTGCAGGCAGAGAGAATAGTAAGTGCACAGATACCTTTCAGACCGAAGGGTCCAGTGTGGCTGGAGCAGAGTGAGTGGGAGGGTGAGGGGACGCGGTCACAGGCAAAGGGCTACATCTTGGAGAGGCCATCATAGGACTTGGGATTCTCTGTCAAGTGCACTGAGATACCAGGTGGAGAACTCAGGTAGGCAGCTGGGCATGCAAGTCTCAAGTTTAGATTTGGGCTAAAGATAGAAATTTGGGGGGGTTAACACTCTGTAGATGGTATTGAAACCAGGAGGCTAGTGATGTAAGTGCTGGAGTGGGTGTAGATAGAAAAAGGAGGCTCGGGGATGGTGCCCTAGGGCATCAAGTGTTAAGAGTGCAGACCTAGTGGCCCAGTGCGGTGGGAGGAAAACCTGATGGTGGGATCGTAGAAGCTGAGCAAGGGAAGCACTTCAGGTGGAGGGAGTGGGGGACTATGTCAAGAGCTGCTGATGGCTAATTGTGAAGTAGGTTTGTACACTTCTTCCAGAGGGAGTGGGGAATTGCAGGAGCAGGGTCCCTGGAAGTGCAAGGTAATGGGGTCTGCTTAACAGAACTCTAAGCATGGTCACAGGAGAACAAGTAGAGTAAGAGTTCAGTGGAGGGAACTTGCTGAAGCTTTTTTCTTGCTGTTGTATTTTCTTTGTGAAATAGGAAGCAGCTGAGATCCAGGAGGGGGTGGCCTGTTGGAGAGTTGAGGCAAGAGGAGAGAATGTGTTAGAGCAAGTGATTCTCCAGGTGTGCACCCGGGCCTCTCAAGATTGTTTTGGGGCTCTGCAAGGTCAGAGCTATTTTCATGATAACACTAAGATGGTTTTTTGCCTTTTGCACACTCATTCTCTCACAGGTGCATAGTGGAGTTTTCCAGATGTGTGATCTTACAACAGCAAGTATAACAGACAGATATGAGAATCCTGTCTTCTATTAGGCCAGACATTAAAAAGATCTGTAAAATTGTTAAAACAGTGCCATTCTTATCACGACCTTTTATTTTTTTCAAATACATCACACAACTTTATGGTAGGTCTGGGGAAATGCACTATTGGTAATAAATGGTGAAATAATTTATCTTTAGCAATGTAATTATATATGAAGAATGTAAGTGTGGATGCTCCCAAAGCAACACCATCCTAGTCCCTAGAGATTGGCTGATTGTACTTGCCTTCACACTGCTAGTTCAGGTAACACCACAACTGAACATCACTTTCTTCCTACTTTACAGTTCTCGGTGTTAATGATATTGGCAAGTTCATACAGAAAAATACAAGAAAAATGGCTTTTAAAAATTTATTGCTCTAGTAATTTGATCATTAAGTCTATTATCAGTATAATAAATGTCTGTCTTCTAATTGATGGTTTTTAATGAAAAAGTTCATTGTTACCTTTCAGAGAAAGTGCTGAGCACAGCGTCAGCCCATAACAGGCAGTTGGTATTACTCTCCCTTTCCCATAAGCAGTGTTCATATTTATAACAAGGGTCTTTCTACACAGCAGCAAAACCAAAGTGGTCAGTTTTTATTCACCCTCCCACCAAGAGAGGAACTGATCATGCGTGAAAGACCTCTTTTCTACGTTTAGGCTTTGGTGTTCATTTTAACTTGATTTTACTTTAAAAAAAATTTATTGGGGTAACATTGGTTAATAAGATTACATAACTTTCAGGTGTACAGCATTTGACACCTGTGTATTCTATGGTGTGCTCCCCATCTGAAGTGTAGTTTCCTTCTGTTAACCATGTTTGACCCCCTTTATCCACTTCACCATCACCCCATCCCACTTCTGATAACCACCATTCTGTTATCTATATCTGTGATATTCTGACTTACTTCATTTAGCATAATATTCTCAAGAGTTCATCTATGTTGTCACAAATGGCAGTATTTCATTTCTTTAAGATGAATAGTATTCCATTTTACATATATACCACATCACCTTTGTCCAAGCATTCATCAGTGGATACTTAGGTTGTTTTCATGTCTTAGCTATTGTAAATAATGCTGCATTGAAAGTAGAGGCACATATATCTTAATGCAGAAGTATTTTTATATTTTTTGGATAAATACCCAGAAGAATAATTGTTGGATCATTTGATAGTTCTATTCTTAGTTTTTTTGAGGATTTTTTTTTTGTTTTCTATAGTAACTATACTAATTTACCTTCCCACCTACAGTATACAAGGGTTTCCTTTTCTCTATATCATCCAACATATATTTTTTGTCTTTTTTATAATAGGCATTCTTACAGGTGTGAGGTGATTTCTTTCTGCTTTATTTCACTTGCATTTGGGATCAAATTCAGAAAAACATTTCTGAGACCAATGTCCATAAATTTAGTGCCTATGTATTCTTCTATGTATTTTATTATTTCAGGTATTACATTCAAATCTTTAATCCATTTTGATTAATTTTGTGTATGGTATAAGATAGTAGTTTAGTTTCTTTCATTCTTTTGCATATGGCTGTTCAGTTTTCCCAACACCATTTCTTTTTCCATTGTATAGTCTTGGCTCCTTTGTCAAAAATTAGTTGCGTGTGTGTGTGTGTGTGTGTGTGTGTGTGTGTGTGTGTATGTATGTATAATAAAAGCCTAATATGCTAAGTGTCCGGCCATCCAGTCAGCTGTTCAACCAATCAAAGCATAATATGCTAATGATATGCTAAGGCTGCTCAGCCACTTGCTGTGACGTGCACTGACCACCAGGGGGCATACAGTCGACTGGTCAACCAGTCGCTATGTCGTGCACTGACCACCGGGGGTAGATGCTCCGACCAGTAGGTTAGCTTGCTGCTGGCGTCCGGCTGATTGGGACTGAGCAAGATGGGACATGGCCTGGAGCCTTCCCACCATCCCTCCCCAGCTGGCCAACCTCCTGCATCCTTCCCCAACCCCAATCGTGCACTGGTGGGGTCGCTTGGCCTGGCCTGTGCCCTCTCGCAATCCAGGACCCCTTGGGGGATGTAGGGAGAGCCGGTTTCAGCCCAGTGGTGGAAAAAACGAGCAGTCACTATGACATGCACTGACCACCAGAGGGCAGACACTCAATGCAGGAGCTGCCCCTGGTGGTCAGTGCGCTCAGCCAGAAGCCAGGCTCACGGCTGGCGAGCACAGCGGCAGTGGTGGGAGCCTCTTCCACCTCCACAGCAGTCAGACATCCCTGAGGGCTCCTGGACTGCAAGAGGACGCAGGCCAGGCTGAGGGATGCGTGTCCCCCCCCCCCCCCAGGGCATGAATTTCGTGCACCCGGCCTCGTGTGTGTGTGTGTGTGTGTGTGTGTGTGTCTGTCTGTCTGTCTGGGTCTATTTCTGGGCTCTCAGTTCTCTTCCATTGGTCTATGTATCTATGTTTCTGCACATACCATACTATTTTGATTATTATAGTTTCATAGTATTGTTTGAAGTCAGAAAGTGTGAAAGTGTGATACTTCCAGCTTTGTTAATTTGTCACAGGATTACTTTGGCTATTTGGGGTCTTTTGTGGTTTTTTAAAAACATTTATTCATGTGAAATGGGTGAAATGGGTTAAAAGGTACAAAACTTCCAGTTATAAAATAAATAAGTCATGGGTATATAATGGATAGTATGGTGAGTATAACTAATGATACTGTATTGCATACTTAAAAATTGCTCAGTGAGTAGATCTTAAAAGTTCTCACCACAATAACATTTTTGCAACTGTCATTTTGCAGTATGGCCATTAGGTAATTTAAACCATCCTCCTGAGCCCTAAAGTTGGTTTTAAAGTGGATTTTGCATGTTTTGATTTCCTTGTGCATATTATTTTTAGTTTTAATGGGCTTATTTAAACTAGTTTTGTAAACACTGCTTACTACTGTCTTTTCTCATTTTTTTTCAGTAACTTGGATCCACTTACAGAAACTGTATCCTTTTTTAAAAAAAAAAAAAGTTAAATGAAGGCTTACTAAAAGGAAAATAGAGAAACAAAGGAAAAAAATAGACTAGTACTGAAAAACTTTAAAACCTTTAGATCTGGAAACATCATAAACAACATTGTAAGCAATTTAAATAAACAGGGAAGAAGATTTGTCTTAAACTTGCCTAACAAGTTGCTAATATGGTGACCTCATAAACCTGTAACAGTACAGCTACACTGCCCAGCTTCCCCTCAGTAGTATGGGTGTACACAACAGAAAGTAGTGAGTTCAGCAAGATGGGTTATTTCTGTGTGTTCTGAATGAAGTCTAGAAATGATGAGCAGTCTAGGGCAGGTGGTGGTTCCATGTAGTCACCAGTGACCAGGTTCTGCACTTGAACCACTCTGCCATTCCCAGGGTGGCCTTGGCCTTCCTATTCCATGGCTGCCAGAGCAGACAGCATCACATCCATGTTGCTGGCAGAAGGATCAACAGAGGGGAAGGTAAAAATATTGTTCGCTGTATCTCGTTGATCAGCACCTGCCTCACTTACGTAGCTGTAAGAGTCCCAGAATGTGCCTACTTTAAATTGGGGCTTATTACTAAAGTGAAGAGAGGATTTGGGGTAACAATGAGCAGTATCTATCTGGATTATGTTGCACTAACAGACAACCCCCACATCCCGAGTGGCTTAAAACACAAAGTTGGATTTCTGGGTTATCCATGTCCATTGTGGGGGCGGGGGGGGGTGGGATATTAACTGATAATTCAATATAAGAGGCTAGTGAACATATTAGTTCAGTCTTACCAGTCAGAAGACGTGAAATACAACCAAAATAAAATGTGATGTTTTACTTATCAAAATATCTAGAATTAAAAAAAGATAAAACTCAGTGCTGATGAGGGTGAGGTTACAGGAACATTCTCATAAATTGCTAGTGATGGTATAAACTGCAAGAATTTTTTGGAAGTCACTTTAGCAATGTAATTTATTTTATTTTATTGATTTCAGAGAGGAAGGGAGAGAAACATCAATGATGAGAGAGAATCATTGACTGGCTGCCTCCTGCATGCCCCACACTGGGGATCGAGCCCTGAATCCTGGCATGTGCCCTTGACCCAAATCAAACCTGGGACCCTTCAGTCCACAGGCCGATGCTCTATCCATTGAGCAAAACCGGCTAGGGTGGCAATGTAATTCTTAGTAATTCCAATTCCTAGAAGCAGAAAATAATAAGCAACAGAGGCAGTTATGTCAGGGCATGACAAACTAAGGTGCAAGAGCGAAGTTTGCACACTGCCTGTTTTTATAAACAGTTTTACTGGGACACAGATATACTGAGTAATTTTCTATTACATATGGTCTTTTCCATGGCTTCACAGTTTGAGTAGTTGCAACAGAGACCATATGGACCACACAGCCTAGAATATTTACTATCTGGCCCTTTACAGAAAATGTTTTTTAACCCCTTAGTTATGTCATTACAAAAATATTTATTGCTGTTATTAAAAATTGGGGATAACATTCATTCACAACGATAAGGAAATGACTAAATAAATTAATCTCTATTCATAAAGTATTTTAAAAAGTTTGAGAATGTGGAAACAACCCAGACATCCACTGTCAAGAGATCGTATATTTAAATTGTCTTTTCACACAGTGGAACACTATACAGCAGTAAAAACGAATGGTAGGTAGTTTTACTATTTTTAGTTTTAATGGGCTACGTATCAAAAACAGAGTTGAGTGGAAAAACCAAAAACAGGGACTCTGAAGTTTTCATTTATATTTTAAAAACTATGACCTATTAAAGACCTTTCCACGTTTAAAAATAGTAAAAGGATTTTGAAGAATTTTGAATGACACAAATTTTCACCATAAAATAAGGGAAGTATTAGGATGCATATCAACTTAACATGGTTTCCAGTTACCTGAAAAATTTACAGTAAAAGTCTCATAATCTACGTGAAGCCATATTTGAAAGGAACCTGCCAACTCCTAGTGGTTGATAAGTGGGCACACTGGAGGAGACAGTTAGGGTGTGTTTTAAGGCTGCATGGTAGGAAGACTGACTGGCCTGTCATTTTAGGGGTTAAGTTTGAAGAGTATTGAAAATAAAGCTTGTCCTTCAGAGGAGAGTTTGAAGAATTTACTAAACATGTTTTCCAGGAACTTAAAATATATATATGATCGATGATGTCCCTTCATGGAATTGTATCAGCAAGCTGACATTAAGGAGAAATAAACAGTTTATTATAGAGAAGAAATTTCTCATCCAAAAATATAGAAATCTGTATACCTCTGCCACAATTGATACACATGAACTGTACAAATTTACACCAGTTCATAATGTACCAAATAAAAAACTACAAAGTACTTCATTTTAAAGTTACTTTCACAGTCTCTTAGTTGAAGCTAAAGTAGTCATTAATTTTCCAGTGCAATTATGGAAAAATGAACATACTGAGCATCTATGTATGAAGTGCCAGGGATAGAGTAAACATTACTCATAGTTTTAAGGGGAGACAGATTGTAAACAAATAAGAATATCCGGTGAGGCTAAGTGCTATGCAGAGATTTAGATACAATGAGTCCTCGTTCAGTTTTCTGTTGGATGGTGTGGTTTCCATTCACATTTGAAGTGGTATGTTCAGGTACATTGTTAAAAAATTAGTGCTAATCTAAATATTTCCTGTAATGATATGATTATAGAAAACATACATATATAGAGCTGGGGATAAAGCAACAACATACTTATTAAGGGGAACTTTCTTTATCCCTTTTATGAAGAACTTGTTACTGCCCGTCATTCTTCACACTCCTTAACAAGACTCTAGTATGGGATTCCTTTTTATTTACAGTATCTTGCCCATTGGCCAGAGTATTTCATTGTTGCAGAGGCACCTGGTGGAGAGTTAATGGGCTATAGTAAGTATAATGCCACCAGTACTGTTTTGGATAGGAGTTAAGATTTTAATATGGGTTTAAACTGGTTTAGAATGATAAAGAATTGAAAGTATAATCACGATGTCTATAATTTCTTTCCTTTTAACCATTAGAAACTCAGTGATCCCTTCTACGTTAGGCATTGTGCTAGGTCCAGCTGTTACAGCAGTGAACCAACCAAACAGGGTCTCAGTCTTCTTGGATCTTTCAAACTATATATATGTTAAGTTTCTACATAGTTTATTTGGTACATAATACAAGGATTGTATTATTAACAAAAACTTAGCTATTGATTGTCTCAGTTATGTATACATATACACATACCCACACATATACCTATGTGAAATATAGATATTTTTAAAAATACACATTCTGATTCTGTGTTCAAAATTAGTTATGTTTTTAGTATATCATTCCTTTAAAAAAAACTTTCTAATTCCGATTCTACAACTAGATTTAGCATGACATTTATAAGTGAAATTCAGATAAAAGCACTATTAAGCATTAAGTAGATGACTTTAAGATTTAAAAACTAAAGGTTTGTCATTAGTTTCCTTTATAATAAAAATGTACCAAACAGTAATTCTATATTTATGTGTAAACCCCTGTGTTTATTAATGAATGCCATCTTTTGTTGACAGTTATGGGTAAAGCAGAAGGCTCAGTTGCTAGGGAAGAATGGCATGGGCATGTCACAGCTCTGTCTGTTGCCCCAGAATTTCGACGCCTTGGTTTGGCTGCTAAACTTATGGAGTTATTAGAGGAAATCTCAGAAAGGTGAGGTCCTATTTTTCTAATAGTTTATGAACCCTGATCATTTGATTTTTCTCTGTGAACATTTATAAGACTTTTCCCCTTCAGGCTGAGTAAATATAATGCATTACAACTTAGAGAAGTTTCATTTTTAGCCTCCAGTAGACCTTACAACAATTCTGTAACATATTCAGAATGGCATTGTCCCTATTTTGCCACTGAGGAACATTAAAGCAAAATAAGTGACTTACCACAGGCTTACAAGCTGGGTAATTCGTGGAATCAAATACTAGCCCTCAAAGTTTGTTTTTTTTTCACTATTCTTGCCACTATGGGAGATATTCCCATATTCTTTGTTAACATTGCCCTTGGCATCATAATGATTTTTTCACAGTGCCCTTGACCAAACGGAAAACAGTTTAGTCTTAAGCAGTTATGCCCTGATTAATAAGTATTTATGGCCTAACAACCTAGTAGCTATTTAGAAGAAAAGTAAACTGAAAGAAAAAATATTTTATTTCATTGTTAAATAATTGTGGTTATTGACTAATGAGATGTGTGCTCTTGTTGGGTATTGTATTCCTTTTCAAACCCTGGAAATGGATTGATACAACCACCCGCATTCCTGTTTCACATTGGTTTTCATGTGGTACTTTATTTTTTTAATCATAGGAACTGCCCAAAATCTAGCCTCATAAAGGTAGTCATCAAAAGGGATGTAACATGATGTAATGTTGTATTCTCGATTACATCAAAATAGTGGTTTGTTAGTGTCTGATATGTAAGGTTTGTCTGTGTTTTCCTCGAACATTTGAAATATCCTGCAGCACCTCTGAGTTTTGGGCACACTGGGGCGCCCTGGAGCAGTTTGGGGAACTGCCAACATTATGGCTTTTAAAAAAAGACCTATTGTATATATTAAACATCCTCATTAAGTGAGATTAAAGTAATACAGTAAAGAGAAAACCCCTCCTGCCAGCCCATTCTAGAATAGATATGAGATGTGTGTATAAAGTTTAACCAGTTGCCAAGCTGCCATTTTTTCCTTTACTCTAAATACTTAAAAGTATATAGGAAAGGGAATAGCTACTGAGAAGCACTCGAGGCTTTACACTTAATTAATGGAATTAATAAATATAAGTTTTAAAATAACCCAGGCTTAATAATGCTCCTAGCCAAAGTGGTGGCAAGAGGAACTCGAGCTCATTCAGAGAAGAGAGGAAATGGTGTTAGCCAAAAAGGAAATGAACTCTAGTCCTTAAGAATACCTAAGATTTAAGTGATCTTTATTTGTATGGATATGTGTGTATATACCAATATCCATCCATACATCTATACATGTATACATTAAAAATAGAAACAGTATGTAACTTCAAAACAAGTAGGGAAAAAACAGAATGACAAATCATTTTAAAAGAAGAAAGAAAAAGGAAATTAAAATGACAAAATAAATAAGCATGAATTAAGATGATAGCTGTGAATCAAATATTTTCACTAATTTCAACAGTAAACGTCAATAGATTAATGAGTCCAATTAAAAGGACATTATGCTAAGTGAAATAAGCTAGTTACAGAAAGACAAATACTGTATGATCCCACTTACATAAGGTATCTAAAATAAATTCATAGAATCAAAGAGTGGAATGGTGGTGGCCAAGGGTTGGGCGTATGGGGAAGTAGGGAGTTAATAATCAGCATAAAGTTTCAGTTAAACAAGATGAAAAAGCTGGAGTCTGCTATACAGCATTGTACCTGTAGTCAGCAATAATGTACATTTACAATTTATTAAGATCTCATGTTGTGTTATGAAATAAAATTGAAAAGTAAAATAAAATTGAAAAAAAGGAGACTGTTAGGGCTATTTACAAGAAATATATGTAAAGATTAGATATAGAAAGATTGAAAGTAATTTTTAAAATTATACAAATTCTAATCAAGACAGTTGGTATACTTAAATGAACAGTTGTCACAGTATAGTTCAATAATTACCAGCTTAAAAAGAGTCATTGCATATTGATAAAAGATTTAGTCCATCAGGAAGATGTAATAAAAAAATTTACATACTCAATGATATATTCAATGTAAAAATGCACCACTTGGCAAAACTATACTGAGAAATAGACAAATCATCACCATAATGGGAGGTGTGTCTTTCTAATTACTAGGCCAATTAGACAAATTAAGGATATAGAACAGGGGTCAACAAATTTTTTCTGGGCCAAATAGTAAATATTTAGGCGTTGTGGGCTACCTAAGGTCTCTACTATGTGTTTGTGTGTGTGTGTAACAATCCTTTAAAATTATAAAAAACATTCTTAGTTCGAGAGCAACAAAAAATAAGTTGTGAGCTGACCTCTGACTTCAAGAATTTCAATCAGCCAAAAATCTTTCCACATAGAATACTGGCTTTTCTGGCAAAAATTTTTACCATTCTAATTAAGAAATAATGACTGTAAGTTCAATTTTCCACAAAGAGGGAACATTCTTCAACTTATTTTTTAAGGCTAGGATAACCTTGATAATAAAATCTGACAAGAATTAGAAAGGAAATTTGAGGGAAATCTCATTACACATGCAGAAATCCCAGTAAAATCTTAAAGAGGATGCTATATCAAGGGAAGGTTATTTTAACATTAGAAAATCTGTAAGTATATTCCACCACTGTAATAGATGAAAGGAGAACTATTATTTAAGTAAATGCAAAAAATGCATTGATAAAATTCAGTATTCATTCATGATTAAAAACTTGATCAAACTAGGAAGTAGGAGAGAACTTCCTTAAACTGAAGAGTATCTGTGAAAAACCTGTGGTAAATATTGGTGGTGATGCATGCTTTCCTTTTAAAATCTGGGACAAGATAAAGACACCTATAGTTAGCCCCTCTTTAGTAATATATTGAAAATACTAGACAGCACCAGTAAACCAAGAAAAAATAAGAGGATTGGAAAAAACAAACTTACTTTGCAAAGATAAGATTGGGCAGATAGGAAACTCATTAAGAAGCTACAAGTAAATGTTTAGACCAGTGATTTTCAACCTTTTTCATTTTGTGGCACACATTAATTACTAAAATTCTGTGGCACACCAAAATAATTTTGCCGATCTGACAAAAAAAGTGTGATTTTGATTCATTTACACCAGATGGCTATTGTTGTGTTGGCTGTTGTTTTTTGACAAGTGCATTTTGATGCCACTGCAAATGGCATCTTTTTCTAAATCTTACCATTTGTATAGAAATCAACTGAACTTTATACTGATGTTAAAAATGGCACACTGGTGTGCTCAAAGAATTTTTAAAACATGCAATACCTGACTTTTAGGGACACTAACATCTTTTCCCCAGTGGTTCTCAACCTTCCTAATGCCGGGAACCTTTAATACAGTTCCTCATGTTGTGGTGACCCCCAATTTCATTGTTACAAATTGAACATAATTAAAGCATAGTGATTAATCACAAAAACAATATGTAGTTATATATGTGTTTTCCAATGGTCTTAGAGGACCCCTGTGAAAGGGTCGTCCGATCCCCAAAGGGGTCGCGAACCACAGGTTGAAACGCTCTATATGTTTCAGAATCAATGTAAATCCCACAAAAAGTACCTGAGATATTTTTACTGCAATTACATGGGCTCTTGAACCAATTACCAGTTTACTATATTAACTCCTTTATGCACTGTGGTTTATCTCTGCATTTAGATCAGTAGTTTCCAACCTTTTTTTTGCCATACCCCACCTAAGCATCTCTAAAATCCTGATGCCCCTTCTGTGACATATAATTCTTATTATATTAAAAGTGAACTCTTATTGATGTGGAGGAAGCCTAAAAGGCCATTAACTTGCATCCATGAAAGAAAAACAAAAGAACAAACGGACAGTTGAAGTACTGAGGAAGAAATCACTAAGAAATTGTTAAAAAAATATGAAGTGATATTAAAAAATAGCAAAGTTTCAAAACATAATAGAGAACTGAAATGCATAAATGTCACAATATATATTTATATACTGTATATGAGGACCCTAGAACCATAAAAAATGCAAAAAATTCAGTGTTAATAACTCATTCTCGAATTGCCTTCCTTAAAAATCAAATTGCCCCATGCTGGGAACCACTTATTTAGATGGATCATCTTTAATGTCTCTCAAAGTTTTATCAACTTTAGAGATCTTGCAGCTTTTGTTAGATTTTTTTCCTAAAGGTTTAGTGCAGTGGTTCTCAACCTGTGGGTCGTGACCCCTTCACAGGGGTCGCCTAAAACCATTGGAAAACACATATATAATTACATACTGTTTTTGTGATTAATCACTATGCTTTAATTATGTTCAATTTGTAACAATGAAATTGGGGGTCACCACAACAGGAGGAACTGTATTAAAGGGCCGCGGCATTAGGAAGGTTGAGAATCACTGGTATAGAGGAATGGTTAAGAGCCTAAGAGAGACAATATATTCCTGAACAACAAAATGGGTGGATTTGCCCCTTTAGATATCACAGATATTAACCTGTAATGAGTAAGACTCACGTGTGTTCGGGCTGGAGTAAAGCTGTAATGAGTGAGACTGTTCGGACTGGTGTAGTTGTCTAGAGCAGTGGAACAGAATTTGAGAAACAGATCCAGGAATACATGAATTTTTACATACCTCAGAGGAGGCAGTTGTCTTGAGTGATGAAAGGATACACTTTTCAGTGAAAAGTGGTGGCACAATAGGATATCCATATGGGGGAAAAAATTTTCCCAGATTACCATCTTACTATATACAAATCAGTTCCACATTTATTAAAAACCTAGATGTGAAAAGCAAAATTAACAAGCCCTTTGAAGTTAATACAGGAGAGCGTCTCCCTAAGTTCAAGGTAGAAAAGAACTTCTGAATCAAGCCATAAAAAATGCCAACTGTAAAGGAAAAGTTCATATACAGTAGTCCTTGGGCTAAGTCGGAGATCGGTTCCTACAGCACCACGTAATGTGATTTTCACCATAAGTCGGAAATCACCTACATAAGCACCTACGTCACTCACATGGAACACATACACAGCAGTAATGAAGTGAAACAGTAAAAAAAATTTAAAAGAAAGATAATTCCTGACCTTTACTTGTGGCAAATAAATAAAAAACATAAAGCACATATGTACATATGTCAAAATGACGACTTTTTTTAAAATAAATAAATGGGAGATGGCGATGTAACCATGAAGTCTGACGTAACCCGAGGACTATCTGTATTCAAGTTCATTGAAGTGAAGTAATTTTGTTCATCAAAAAATACATAAAGATAATGACAAGACTAGCCACAAACTGGAAAAAGATAGCAAATTGGAAAAAAGATGTTACATCCTTTACACAATGTTGAATATCCAGCATACCAAACTATAGCATAGGGGAGGAAAAAGAAAAATGTTTCAGAGACCAATAGAGACTTCAGAACCAGAAATCTAAATGGCTAGCAAAAATATATTCAGCCTTGTTAGTAATCCAAAATGCCAATTAATATCCCTGAGGTACTATTATACTGTAAGATTTTCAAGCAAAAAGTCTGATGCAAAAAGCCTTGGTAGTATGGCACTGGAGTCTTACCCATTTCTGTGGGAGTTTAAGGGGCACAGTAAGTTGAGAAACAGATATTATTTAACAAGTTGAAGAAGTGTGCACCTCGACGAGCCAGCAATAGACTTGAGTATTGTATGACTCACTGGTAAAATGGGCATGTCAATTACTATGACATAAAACACACAGTAATTTTTTAAGCCAGTTAGCAGAATTGTGGAAAAAATGTTTTAAATTTTATATTTTAAGAAAATATGTACTATAGGTTTTGAAATATTAGTATGCAGACAGAAAGTTATCTTTTTATACAGTGAAACAGTTGTTATAAATCCTCAGCAATATATTTTTTTAAGTTGATTTATGATGTAATCACCTGCAAGGTCCTATTACTGCCATTCTATTAAAAGTAGTCAAAGTAAAAGCAAGTATTGTTTTTAAAAATACATGTATCTATTTTTTTTCTATGGTTTCTCACATGGTAACATTTTCCTTTCTTTTTAAAAAAAGAAAAGGTGGATTTTTTGTTGATCTCTTTGTAAGAGTATCTAACCAAGTTGCAGTCAACATGTACAAGCAGCTGGGCTACAGTGTATACAGGACGGTCATAGAGTACTATTCAGCCAGCAACGGGGAGCCCGACGAGGATGCTTATGGTAAGCTGTCTTTGGCAAAATCCCAAAGAGGAAGCTGAACATTTACATTCATTCTACAGACTGAAATATCTAATTATTTTAATAAACTTAAAAGAATCATATTTGTTGGACTTATTATATAAATTTCCTTTAACCTGCCTTTAGGAACCTACCACTAATTAGCTTATATTAACTAACCAATGACTAGTTACTATGTTATTGTCTTACTATGTTACTTTACTAAGATTCTGTCAAAAGAACATTTGTATGTCAAAAGAACATTTGTATGAAGAGCTGAATCCCAGTTGGGCTTTGGTTATTACCCTCTGGTTACTGGTGATTGAGTCTCACTTGTATAAAGACATTTCCCTTATGCCGAGACCCTTTAATACAGTTCCTCATGTTGTGATGACCCCCAATTTCATTGTTACAAATTGAACATAATTAAAGCATAATGATTAATCACAAAAACAATATGTAATTATATGTGTTTTCCAATGGTCTTAGACAACCCCTGTGAAAGGGTCGTTCAACCCCCAAAGGGGTCGCAACCCACAGGTTGAGAACCGCTGCCTTAGATTATGGTGAAAGGGGAGATAAGGGGCAAAACCTCTTGTGGGAACTTTTCCTGTACACTTTAAATTTAATATAAAATTATTGAAATTTGGGTACTTTAATTAAATTTTGTTTCCTAACAGATATGAGGAAAGCACTTTCCAGGGACACTGAGAAGAAATCCATCATACCGTTACCTCATCCTGTGAGACCTGAAGACATTGAATAACCATGGGCAGTGGTTCTTAGGTTGATGCTCCAGATATTTTATGGACAATATTATTTTCATTGGATGGCATTAGAGTTCTGTTAGAGAAAAGTGCTCATTTAGATCTTAAAGACTTCAAGAAAATGTTTTAAATTTTACTGTTTCCAGGTAGCAACATCATACCTACTGAAGCTGTCCACTGTAATAAAATTCAGTCAGAAAGGCAGCTAAGTCAGATGGAAACATTCTGTCAGAGTTCATAATATTCACTATATGCTAGGGGGAAAAAGGCCCCAATCTCCTCATAAATTCTATGCCTGAGAACCACTGCTGCATATATATATATATATATATATTTTATTTTGTATTGAACTATTGATTGAAGCTTTAAAACCATATATGAAATGTTAAATCTAAGATGTATAATAAAGTGCACTGTTGACTCTATAAATGTTTTTTGGAAGTTTATAAAACTAAATTAAGATTGAGAAAGCATCATTTAGGATATGCTTATTTATTTATATATAAAACATTTTTTAAATGCATACTTGAAACAGTTCCTGACCAGCATACTTAAGCTTCCTTATTTCAAAATAAATTCTTCCCAGTTACTGTTTTCATACTGTTAGTTCTAGATCCTTTCCGTATCTCATATATATTTTGCTTAAATCATGCCTTTGAAATTATAAAAAGATGTTGAGGTTTATTTAAAGGGGAAAAAGAACCTAAATCCTAAAGGCCATGTAACTAGATCATAGACCAACAACATACTTTCATGTGTAGTTTTCATCACCTGTAATATCTGAAAACATGGAGTAAAAGAAGTAAAGAAAATCCCACAGAAATGATTACTAAAAAACTGCTACTTTTGAAAGGACTTACTTTGGTAGCGTTGAAAGAGTGAACAAGAAATGAATCCTTTATGTTCTACCGTTAGAGAATAACTTTTTCCTTCATGCATTACACTCTGGTACTTCCCAGGAAGTGTTGACTTTTCATTGATCAGATTTTTTTTCTTATGCATACATGCAACATAAACATAATTTTAGCAAGACTCTATGATCAGTCACTTTTATTAGCATTTTGGCCTGTTTTCATCTCACCCTTTGACATTGTGCACTTTGCCAAAGGATATTAAAATCACAAATACTCCTCACTGACTAGGCAGACCTCACTACTCAATAGTCAGAACCTGATACCCAACAGCTGATACTGGTCCAATGAACCAGTGAGACTGAAAACAGTTGCCTTTTATCCTAACAGTCCTATTTTATTCTGCCCTTAAAAAATCACAAACTATCTTATTTTCAAGATACAATTTAGTAACATTAACTAGCTTTTATTCCTGTGGGTAACATATTTGCAAACTTAATAATAAATTTGCAGATAATAAATTTGCTAATTCTCCTTATAAGTGAAAAAGTCTTAGAGATAAATAGTTCTATAACCTGGGCAGTCAACAGAGCAAAAAAAGATAGTTAAAGGAAACAATTTCAGATCAGTTAATTAAGGCAGTTATTTTTTGCTTGAGAATGTGAGCAATGTATCATCCAAATGCTATTATTATTCTCCTTGTGCTATTAAGTTTCATTGAGCTTAGTAGGACACTGAGAGATACTTACTGGTACTCTAGGTAGAAATGACTCCCTCGTCCAGCGAGTTTGGGGAACATGCCAGCATTGTTGCTGTTAATTCATATATATATGGTAGCATATCAAAGGCTCTGAACAGCCTATAAAGAAATTTAGTTAATAAGGCTTAACCCTTAATCTAGGGTTTCCCAAACTTGAGTATGGGATATTGTTTTTCATGGCACACCTATTACTGTTTTTTAAACAAGCCATTACAGAGTTCAACCAGTCCGGGAAATTGATTAGGGCATAACTGGAATTTGACTAATATGTTCTTGGTAAAAAAGATCGTTTAGAAATATAGTCACTGTAAATTATTTTCCAATTAATGTTTTGAAAAGTACTTAGCATAAATGGCCATGAAAGTAAGGATTTTAGAAGTTAAATTAATCCAAGCACATTCAATTCTATAAGGAATGAACATATTTAAGCAAGTGGCCAGGAATGAACATTTTATTGAGCACTTACTATGCATTAGGTATGGTCCGTTTAATCTTCAAAATGAGTTGGCAAGTATTAGCCCATCTTATGAGTGAAGAAATGAAAATAAAGGTTGTTATATATCACTAAGTGGCACAGCTGGCAATAGAATTAATTTAGTGTGACAGAAGACATGAAAAAGTTAAAGATTTCAGATGAACGCATAAGATATCTTTATGAAAAAGGCATGAGAAAACTACACCTTAACAGTTACTATAGAATGTAACTTGAAAACTTCTAGAAAAAGATTCTTTCAAAAGCCTGCATTTCATCTAAAATCAATGCTAAATGTTACCTCAATTAGATTTCCTAACGCATTATGTGGATAAAAAATGTTTGGATTCCATCAAAGAAATCCAGCAGTTAAAAAAAAAATTGCTTTACTCACAACCCCCACCCACCTAACTAGCCCAAGAGCATTTTTAAAAGAACTAAAAAAATAGCTGCCAAAGATTTCAATCACTTCATTACTGGTGAAATATATAAAAACTTACAGGAGTCACAAAGTTCCAAACTTAATTTATAAAAATAATAAAACATCAGTATGAACAAGATCAGGATTCACTCTCATCAATGTCCTTATCTGGGTCTTGCTCGGCAGCCTCCTTTTCCTGTTGCTGTTTCTTCCAAAGTTTGGCCATGGCCAGGAGTTTGAGATTTGGTTGGTTGGCAGCATCTTCCGGAAAGATGTAATCATAGTATTCTTCCCAGCCTGCATCAGACTGCAGGAAAAAGGTAAATAATTAAAGGATAAGCAAACGTGGCTGAAATACATTTATTTCAGTTACTTTAAAGTGGAAAATATTAACTGGAAAAACCAGAATTCAAAATCAACTTATCTTCATTTTACACAACATCGAAGTCTGATACAGAAAGAACAAGGGCCAGGCCTTGAATACTGGGAGCAGATGAGTAGCTGTTGGATTGGTGGTGTTGCAAGTGTAGCTCAGTGAGAGCTAAAAATCTGGTGGGAAAATATTCTACAAATCTAAGCGCAGCTCCTCTATAATCAACCAAGGAGATAGTATCTCTAACTCCATCTTGTAGTCTAAGATTTTAAAAATGTAAAGATTTACCTAGTATTTACCCAGTAGTGAAAGCCCTCTATCTGCATAATTATTCCGAATCCCTGCCCTAACATCCCCACCTCCAGTGGGTCCACTGATTTCACTTCCTAAAGATCACTCTAGTTCCAGCTTCCACCTCCACTTGCTTTGCTTACCACAGCCGCCCAATAGGGGCTCCTGCAATCTAAGCCCCGTGAGTCTCCTGCAGAAGGTGCCAACGACCGGGTCATGCCATGTGCAGAAGAGCCTTCCTATAGCCTTCCCTGGATAAGGTCCTACCTAAAAGTTGATTAGCCCGACTGCAATTGTCACCTACCAAGGCCTGCTCCCATTCTCAGATGTACATATGCCACATAAAAGCACAGATTTCTAAGTCAGAATGCATTTCTGCTCATTTAACAAGTTCTTACCCCATCATCAGCCTGGACCTTTCTTCTCTTTTTGACTTTCTCTGGCATGAGTTTGTCTACTCTTTCCTTATCTGACGTAGTTCCAAATTCATCTTCAAAGCTTCTCCAAGATTCCAGCAACATAAGTCTCTCTTCCTTTTCCTCACAGTTTCGCATGGTTTTGTTAGCCTCTTCATAAATTTGTCTGCATTTAGGCAAACTTCCTTCTTTCCCTGAAGACAACTCAAACTGTGCAAAACTGATCCATACCTTAAAAACAATTATTATAGAACCAAATTAACCATGTCACCTAGAATACAATAATGCAAAACCAGATAACCTATAAAGCACAGAATACCTTGACATGTTGTGTCCGTTGAAGCAATCGTCGGTAAAGATTGCGTGTTCTTTCAGTTTCTTCCTGCTCAATTTCAAAATCAATGTATGATTTCCAGAGCACCTGAGGGAAATAACTTAATAGGTCAGTCTTGACATTTAAAAGCAATATGCCCCTATCCAAAGCACAACTTAACTACCATTCCAACCCAGGACATCCAGAAACCTAGGACTTTTATGAACAATTAAAGAACAGAAGGCATATGGATAAATAAATAATACTAGCATTTACAAGATGCCCAACTTGGCTAGAATTCTACATTATGAGAAAAAAAAGGCTTTGATTATCTTAGAATTTTTCAAATGCTGGACTTATCAAGAGGAGCTGAGAAACCTGCCATATCTCCCAGGCAGTCATGATCGAGTCACATACAACTGAACTTGCAGGGAGAAACAGGCCTAGATTAGCCAGTGTATACCGTTTTACCTCCACTGTAAGTTCTTGATATGTTTGAGTTCAACTCAACAAGCATGCAGTGAACAGCTGCCCATCTGCTAGTATGTATAGCCCAGGGGTGGGCAAACTTTTTGACTCGAGGGCCACAATAGGTTCTTAAACTGGACCGGAGGGCCGGAACAAAAGCATGGATGGAGTGTTTGTGTGAACTAATATAAATTCAAAGTAAACATCATTACATAAAAGGGTACGGTCTTTTTTTTTTTTTTAGTTTTATTCATTTCAAACGGGCCGGATCGGCCCGAGGGGCGTAGTTTGCCCACGGCACACAAGGCTAAACAAGATGTGGTCTGGACTCCTGGGAGCTGGAAGTCTGTGGAGGAGCTGAGGCTAATAGATGGACCTAGTAATACAAAAAGCCCTGCCTCAAGGCAGTGGTGGGCCCAGTGAACTATTAAATGAAAGGTAATATTAGTGCAAGATTAACAAAAAGGCTGAGAGTTCGGTGGCTCCTATTAGATTCAAATTCATTCTAGCTGTGGTTTGGCGCCACCTTGTGGCTCTAGCTTAAATATCGAAGGGATGATTTCAGATCCTGCTCAAGACAGGACTTCCAGTACAGTAGCAATAATTCCAGGAGTATCCTGGTTTACTTAGACCCTCTTCTGATAGCCCAATCCAGAGTAAACTGTGCTAGGAGAATCCAAAGGTGTGCAGTCTCAACTTCCATCTCCCTTGATCTCCAGGTGGGATTATCTGCTGCCTGTCTCCTTGACTTTCCCATCCCCTTTAGCTTCCTGCTTGAGAACGGGAGGAAGAGAGCCAGTCACCCACCCATTATATCCCAATTCAGTTTGGTGTCATAATGAGGCACTGTTGTGCTCTGGAATCCACCTAGAGCAGTGGCTGCCAACCTTTTGGACCTCGTGGACCACCAGTTGGCGACCGCTGACCTAGAGGGCTGCTCCTCTGGCCTTGCTATCTCCAAAACAGAAAAGTCCTCATTTGAGTGGAAAAGACTGAAAATCAGATCTTCTTTATGCTCTAAAATGCACATTTAGATGGTCATCTAAAATAATACTACAGA